AGATGGTTCGGCTCATTGCGGCAACTGGCTGCCAATGAGCAGCGACGACTCGTGTCGCGAGCCAACGTTCGTATGCGATTGGCTGGTTGGGTTGTTGGGACAACATGGCTGGTCCCACCCCATCAGGTGACGGCTTGAAATTCTGCGACCGCGGTCTGGCCGAATGCGACGAGTTTCGACGACTATTGCGACATTTTCTGCGATGGCGAACCCTGGACAAGTTTTCGGTTTCAGCAACCCTATGACGACTGAACCAGATTTCCACGCGCAAACGAGAAGTTCTCATAACGAACACAATATGGAGGCCTGACATCGTTGAGTGAAAACACTCTTTCCAACTTCCAATATGTACTAGTATGTCAACTCTAACAGACCGCCATTAAAGGCTACAAAAAAAACTGGTGCAATTTTAGCCACAGTACCGGCGCAGGCCAACAGGATGACACCCTTTCTTTCTCTATCAGCGCACACAAAACAAAACACGACATATCACATGGGCCATTGTTGATTACACTGTAAATAAACTACACTTTTGTAGGCTTGGCTCCACATTCCTTCTTGGTCATAACGTCCGCACTGGGGTCCACCGTCATCACACACATCACAGTGACCTGTAACAAGGTATTCAATAGAGGGAAAACCGTGGGAAAGATGTAGATTGACAGATAAAGCGCATGCAATTCTTCCAAACGACTTTGCTGCATACAGAACGAGGTTGTACGTCTTTTGTACACTATCTCTTGCGACGCTCACAATTTTACTGCACCCACCCTATCAATCACTGCACTTACTGTGTATCCCGCTATACTCACATTGTAAGTGGGAGAGGAGATTCCCCACACCCTCACATCTCTTACGCTACTCATATGCAATCTTGCTGCACTTACACTACCACTTAGTGTGTCCCGCTATACTTACATTGTAAGTGGGAGAGGAGACTCCCCACACCCTGACTTTGCCCTGTATGTTGATAAAGGTCTGATGCAGGAAACGAGGGAGAAATCAGAGAGGGGATCAGGAAGGGATTTTGGGACTGGTTTAGAAGAGGGGATGAGGGAGGGTATGAGAAGATTCCCCACACTCTCACTTGCCCTGAGTGCTGATGAAGGTCTGATGCAGAAAACGAGGGAGGGGATTTGGAAGGAAATTCGGGATTGGGTGAGACAGGGGAAATGAGTCATAAATAATGATTCGTAATAATAGTGAGGGGATGATGGAGGAGATGAGCATATTCCCCTCACCCTCACTTCGCCTTGTGCGTGAAAACAGAGGGTCTGATGAAGAAAACAGAGGGAGGAGATTAGAAAGGGGAGGAAATGAGTAAGGGATGAGTGAAGAGAGGGAGGGGATGCGGGAATTCCCGCCTCAAGCTCACACCTGCATTTTTATTATCCGCTCTCGCAGCAGCTCGTGGTTATGGGGTTTCAATCGATGGGGCCTCAATATATGGGCTTCTGACTTGTGAGCGTACATAAATCGAGCAGTTAGCACGTAAGTTCATACCTGCATCTTGATCTTGCGCTCCCTCAGAGCAGCAGCAATGGGGCTCCGGACTTGCGCCGAGGAGGACGTGGAGAGCAGCGGGAAGCTCTTGACCACGATTGGCACGGTGGCGACTTTTGTCTGCTTCTTGCCCAGCTCAAACGCTGGCATCTGGCAGGGGAGGCGGAGGGGGAAAAGAGGAAGAGCCATGTTGGCAAGAGTCGATGATCGAGAATGTAGCATTCGCGTGACTGCATGGCCATTCCCATTTAGTAGTAGTAGCATCTGCAGTCGCAATGATACATCAGAAGAAGCGAATACAACGTAAAAGAACAGAAAGACTAAAGGGGAAAAAAAAAAAAAAAAAAAAAAAAAAAAACACGCACCGAGATATTTGAGACGTGGATACCAAACAGGTAGATCCCCATGTTCATGAAATTGAAGATCCCATCGAAGCTGTTCGGATTGTATATACTCGCCGTCACGTTCACTTGCGCACTCAAATCCACGCGCAACCCTTCAAAGTTGTTCTGAATCGCCCTTTGAATCTCCTCCCCGATCCGCGATATGTCTTTAGAGACCTCCTTAGAAACGTTCCTCCCGGCTTTAGACACCTCTTGAGTTACATTCTTCCCGATTTCAGTAACGTTCTTTCTGAGATCGGAAACTTCTTTTCCAAAATTGGAAAGCCGGTCCTGGAGGCTCTTTCCGAGACTGCCGGGGTTCTTCAGGTCTAGGTTCGACAAGTCCAGGCTCGGAATGTCGAGGCCCGGCACGCTGCCGAGGCTGGGGACGGAGCCTCCGAGGTTCGGGACGCTGACCATGCTGGGGTCTAGGTTCGGCATCTTGATGGTTTGGGAAGGGATTGAGATGCTCAGGCGAACAATGTCAATGCCCTCTACAGTCACAACTGGTTCCTGTACAGAGGGGGAGGGTGGAGGGAAGAGAAGGGGCAGAGGGGGAAAAGGAAAGAGGGAGAATATGGTGTTTGTATTGTACGTATGTGTATGTGCATCAGAGTGTGGAAGGTCCTCTCGACATATGCAACGCTTCAAATAGTGCATTGCGACCTTAAGACGTGTGAGGAGGTTAATGAGATTGATATGCGAAACAAATATTTCGATGAGGCGTCAATATTACCTGTTGGGTGAGAGAGAGGAAGAAGACAAGCATTGTGAGGCCAATCCCCGTCATCACAACCCCAGCACCAATCCCCACCCAGCAGATAATCTCCCACCTCCCGCACCTCCTTCCCCGCTTCCCCTTCCCCTTCCCCGCGCCTCCCCCCTCCCCCTTCCCCGCGCCCTCACCCTTCCCCTTCCCCCCTTCCCCCCCTTCTCCGCCCAGCTCCGAATCGCCCTCCATCGCCTTCGCCTTCGCCGCGGCGGCTTCTGCGGCGGGGGAGGGCGACGCGAGCGCGTCGCGGTCCGAGTCGGGGAGGTCGAAATCCGCATCGTCGGAGAGGCCAGTGGAGTTCGAGTCCGAGTCGCAGTGGGAAGCCCGTCGGTTATGCACCATAGAGTCCACGTCAGCAGCGGCCTCCACGTCAGCTTCATACGCTGAGTCCGCGTCAGCGTCCGTCGAGTAATCCGAGCGGCCCGACGCCTGTTTCGCTAATGGCGACTCGTCGGCCATCTTTGCGGAAAACATCATCTTGTTGCGCGCCTTGGCTAATATCGAGGGTAGGAGTAACCGCGCGAGACGACTAGCACTGCTGGTTGCTGCGGAGGATTAGTAACAGATGTCGAGCCGCTACTTAGGCATGTCTCTAATGGAACGCCTGCGGAAAGAATAGGGTCATAATGGAAGTGCCTGTTCCCGTGCTATCGTTTGTCCTTTTCGCTTTAAAGACGCGATTTTTCAAACTCGAGTAACTTGTATTGTAGGCCGTTCGCCAGCTCCCTCAACAGTATTTCACTGTGTCCTGCAGTTCGAGTAACCCTCCCTTGGTCTTACCGCAAAAACTCTCTCCTCTAGTCCTACAGAGTTATATCTCTATGCCAGACTTCACCTGCTTCGGAAAGCAGCCCCCTGCACCGAACACGACGCAGCTAGTGACGGTCCGCCGTACTATACCGCGTCTCAGCCTTAGAATGGCGAGCTAGAGGCTGTAGCTGTAAGGTATGCGATTCGCAAGCACCGCCTACTAGGCTATCGATTATCGAACCAAACCACGCATGCTCCCTGCTTGGGAATGCTAGTTTGTGCGGTTCGGCGGTGGCCCTTGACTCACCAAGCTTCGCCGAGTTGTGGTTGGGCACATGCGCGGAATTTTGTTGGTAATGGGGAAACCAGAGAGGTTTTCCACAGAAAAGAAGGGGGAGGGGGGAACGAAGAGGGGAGAGGGTAGGGGGAGTGGACGGGGGAAATTGGGGTGGCAAGCTGGACACGTTCGCCCTCGTGACATGGGTTTTCAGCAGTTGTTCTGCTTGACCGCTTTTGACCACACCGCATCCACAGAAAGTTGTGAAACGTGGTTTTCCTCGGCCCTGTTCGACTGGCGCATCAGGCGCAGGCTCGGGTACCGGCAACAGTAAAGTGTGCTCCCTCGAAGCTTCTTAGAGAAGCGGACAAGTGTTGACTCGGGTCTGGGATCTGCTGACTCGGGTCTGGGATAGGCGCATGAGCACCGAAGCGAACTGGTGCATGATGCCAGCCGAACACCCTTTTCGGCCCCAGGTTCGGGAACCGAATGTGCGTTCCCGGAACCCTCCTCTCCTGGCAAACCGACGCACCACTGATGCGCGCATGGTGCATCCGTGGAGAGCTAGATGCGGGGCAGCACCAGCTGGTGTGGGACAGAATAAGGTGCCCGCCAAGTTGAACACCCCCCGAGTTTGACTAACTTGACCCACTCTATTGCCCGCTCTGTAAAAGTCGAACACCCACCGTGTTTGACAAACTTGACAGACCAATAGAACCAATTTGACAAACCCCAAACCACTTCCTCTCGTTCGAGCACCACACCCGAACCAACCCTGGTACCCAAGCACCACCAACGAGCCTGTGCTGGTACCCGAGCCTAAACCCTGATGCGCCAGTCGAACAGGGCCCTTATGTGGTGGAGGGAGCCGTGGCGCGTGCGCGTATCTGCGAACCGAACCGGCTATTTTGATTGGATAGTGACGCCTTCGCCTACGAAATGGCTAGTTCGGTTCGGTGATGGAAACGAGGTGACGACGGACGACTTGCCAAGGAAAGTGGTTGCCCCTGTGATTTCTGTTCATGGACACATACATGTGTTTCGTGTTTATGATTGGTCAGCATGAATGCATCGCTGCTATGACCGGTGTGTTCCCGCTAAAACACGGTCGCTACCTAATAGAGACAGCAACTAAACCTGGTCTGTACAGAATCTTATTGCTTTTGACGTTACTGACCATACAGAAAGCATGGCACCTTTGAAGTCAGTGCAGGAATATCAGGGTGCCCATGATCTCATACTTTTTTGGCCTTGCTAACACATTCCCTTGTGACCGAATTCTTGCCTGCAGCAGGGCTCACCGTAGCGTTGCAGACTACTCCAACCTGCATCCAGGAAAAAAGTTCAGAGAACGTTCACTTCTCCAGCCTGAAGTAGGAAAAAGTCCAGCAAGTAGTATAGACTTGGATGCACAATGCAAAAACACACTAAAAAAATGTGCCAGCTTATAAACCATTCATGCCAGGGGCCAATATATAGCCGAACCCCTCTACGTACCTTGTAGGATGGTGAGGAGATGGCCCACCACTGGGCTTTGCCTTCTGCAACTCCTAGGATCTGCGACGAATATTATTCACGACAACAAATGTTATTCACAAAAATCATTCTATCACATGGCAGGATGTCATGTTGTAGAGAGCGGATTCAGCAGGCAATTACCACGAGAAAGGAGTGGCCTGCCGACACGGTACTAACCTTCATCTTGAGCTTCTGAGCCAGGAGGGAGTTACCAATGACGCTATCCTTCCCAAGAGACACCAACGGCACGTTGACCACTTTCAAGGGGATTGTGAGGCTGATGTTTTGGTTGCTGGGAGACCTGAACTCGCCCAACTGAGCAAGAATAGAAGGCACATGGGAAATGGAGGGAGAGAAAGGGAAGGGAGGTTGAGAAGAGATGAGTTGCCAGAAAGAGACTAGTGGTAAATGCACCTGAACTGAGAAATTGTGAGCAGTGTCAATGGAAATTATGATCGAGAGCCATAAGAAGGGAAGTTCTACTACTTACCGAGACATTGGAGACGCTTATGTTGAAGAGTGAGATGAACAGGTCCAGGTACTTCACTTGAATATCGTACTTGTTGGGATTCAACACATTCGCTGTAACATTAATGAGTGCGTTCATATTGAGGGTGAAATTGGTCGGGTCCGCCAGCAGGCTTCCGAGATCGCTCCCGAGATTTCCCAGAGCTCCCGCCAACGGACTCCCGAGGGCATCCCCGATAGTAGCTCCCAGCCCGCCAAGACTAGTGGTCAGGTCACTGTTGGTGCCTGTGCCGTTGAAATTTAACCGTACAATGTCAACCTTCTCAATATTGATCACGGGAGGCTGGAGGATGGGATAGAGGGAGAGGGGGGAATGGGACAGGGGTATGAATGACATTCAGACAGGCAGACGGATAGAGAGACAGGCAGAGAAGTGGTATTGGCAAATGGAGAGGTTCCCATGGAAAGGGAAGCAGGAATATATAAAGACCATTTGCAACTTGGTATCCGCCACAACTGGATGAAGCCATTAGTTGAAGCGATGGATTTACCTTTTGCCTGCTAAAACGTGCTTTGCAGAGCTTCAGCTGCCGATTCAAGAACACTGTTTGTTGCTTATCCGGTCCTATCCACCGCAAGGTCGCTTCATATATACAGAACTGGCACAATCCATGATAGTATTCCGAAGTCCTTGGTACACTCACCGCGGGCTTATAAGTGCACGCAACAACGAGTATGGCGATTCCCACGCCGGTCATAAGCAGGGAGAGGAGGAGTCCGCACGTTATGGCGATGTTTTGCCACGTGCAACAACTGCGCTTCTGCTGCTTCTGGTGCTGCAGCTTTGCATGCTCCATTTCGTAAGCGTCAAAGCCATCTGCGTCCGCCATGTATTGCTTCTTCTGCACAAGGAAAGAGTAAAAGAAAGACGGAAATTGGAATTGCAGAGTGTTGAGATTTCACTAGAACCCAAAGCCATCAGCTTCCGCCATGTATTTCTTCTTCTACACAAGAAAGAGGGAAAATGAAGGCGGAGAGAGTAAAAGAAAGACGGAAATTGACAGCCAAGTACATGAGAGAGGAAAACAGGAATTCTGGTTTTGATCCTCTCAGCGACGAACACAAGGCTGTAAGTGAGCACGGCGTCGATCGGGATTAGCGAGTCAATTCACAAGGCACGGGCGTGAATCGCGTACACTTCAATGTCTAGGAACCGTTTTGGAGACTTCTCAAAGTAGACAATTGTGCACCGAATGAGGACAGTGTACTATATGCGTCGCAAAGCAGTCTGTGACTCTCGTCGAAGTGTGGTAGTGAGAAGTGTGATGCAGCATGAGCGATAGAGCGAAGGGTGTGAGGGCGAAGGTTGGGAGGGCGGAGGGTGAGAAAGCGGAGTGCGAGAGAGCGGAGTGTGGGAGAGCGGAGAGCGACAGAGCGATGCGGAAGATAAAGAATGCGACGAGATTGTGTGACGCGGCTTACAATGCGAATCGAGAAGCAACATACAAAACAGGACCATGGCACAACGGAAAAGGGACAAAGGGTGATAACCGTGCGAGACGAAACAGGTTGACTGACGTACGTAAGGCTCTTCGAGGTCGTCAGTTATGTCAGTGTACCTCTCCTCCTGATCCACGCGTGCTGAATTGGTTCTGACTGGGAGAAAGTCACTCACTCCCATCGTATGCCAAACTCTCCGTGGTTTTAGTGCTACAAGTACAGAGAAACGGTGGTGAATTTGTAACTCGAAAGAACGACGCTGGGACGAAGGAATGAGGAGGTACTGATGCAGAAAAGGTTTGCGATGCTATTTGGAGAATGGCTGCTAAACTCCGAATGCTACGTCACGAGCTGCGAATAGCAGGGACAGCAGATACAGGAACCGGATGTTACAGATGATAAGCACTGCTTGAATATCACAGCACTTTCAGACTGGACAAACCACTCTCAGGGAACCGAGTGCGATTTATCTTGCCACAGCAAAGCCTAGGACCACCGAATGTAATCCGAAATGGCTAAGCAGTGTGGCTACTACAGAAGCTAGACACCTACATCTGCGAGCGACTGGTACTCATTTTGCGACGAGTGTGTCCTACCAACTTCTTGCGAAGAATGGTGCTGGTTCTGCTTCTGGCAGGTCGAGAGAGCTTTGGGGACGTGCATTGGTAGATTCTACTTCACTACCCCACTCAACCGTTGTATGTAAGAAGCGAAACTCTTTCACTCTCACGGCAACTCTCTGAACCTGCTGGTGTGATGTACTCGTTTCTGAGGCAAGCAAGGGACACCTTCATAACGGCTTTCTTCCGCTGTGCGACTGCGGAGGTCGCATGCTTCGAAATGCGGAGCATGCTCTCTCGCTCTGCGACAGCTGGAACTAAAGATCGTGAAGGGCGATTCCAGACGGATGCCTGACAGAAGGCTTGGCGACCTTTGGTCGGTACCTGGGGAAAAGCGGGGGATATCAACTGAACACCGATGTTTGCTCCGACGAACATCGTCTTCCCCTCGCAGACCTCGTATTCCTTCGCATGGACAGCTAGCCTTGTGGAGCGGAGCCTGATGATGGCATCATCGAACGGCTGACCGACAGAACCAGAGAATTTGATTGGATGCGAAGATACCACCAATGAAATGCACACTATGGAAACCTCCTCATCATTCGTGTTGTGTCTGATTTTGGCGGGGGGAGGAGGGCCACAGCTGGGAACGGAACGCGCGGTACTCTCGAAACTAGGTACGGTTCTGGCAGCCATCGCGACTCGAAACCGTGTCAGTTTTCCCAACATCAGTCGAGACGCGACCGACAGTGTGGCACCGACTTTTCAAACCTTTGTGGGGTGTGTAGAGTGGTTCGAGAAATCGTGTGCGGTGTGAAGTGTGGTTTGAGGAATCCTATGCTGGTTAGGATATTGCTACTGCTTCTGATCCTAGAGTTGAGCCCCCTAGAAATATACACTTGAATAATTCCAAAAATAAATATATACCACTTATAAGGACACGACATGAAAACAATGCATTAGGCTGGCATTGCTCATTTTCTACGCTTTCGATCTGGTCTTGAAACATTTCTGTCGAAATAGCTGGTCCCCCCCAAATGGATCTACCGTGATATTGCACGCGATGAGGAGCTGCAACAAAGATGGACGGAATGTTTTTCGAAAGTGTTAGTAACAAGACACATGTGACATGCTGCTCACAAAATGGCCAGTAACGAAAGCAGAGGCACATGTACCACTTACATTATATGATGGTGTTGCCATTCCCATAATCTTCACCTTGCCCCTAGAGTTTATATTGAGCTGTAAGTCCAGCATGGATGAAAAAAGCCAGGGGAAAACTGTTAGAACGGAAAAATATAGAATAACATCCATAACGCTTCAGTATCCCACCTTGACATCCACTTGTCCCTTGCGGAGCGATGTAGTAATGAGGTTGTCCTTGTTACCGGTTGCAATGACCGGTAGATTCTTGATGGGAAATGGGATGCTCAGTGTAATGTTTCCCCTCTTTGAGAGCTCAAATCCAGGGATCTGGTTGATATGGAAATTGGATAGGGCAGGAAGGCATGTGAGAGCAGAGGTAAGGCGCTAAGGTTGTAAGGGACGATGCGGGGAAGATAGGGAATACGTGCCACAACGGACATACCGAGGTGTTGGTAATGTCAACGTTCAATGCTAACGTTAAAGAGCTTCAGGTTGACATTGAGCACCTCCACGATCACCTCGTGGTTGTTGGGGTTAACCACCAGCGCCTTCATATTCTAAGCAATCAAAGGGCGTAGCATGCTCTTAAGGTTTCTGGCACGTACCGAAGTGTTGGCGATGTCGACATTGAAGAGCTTCAGGTTGACAGTTAGCGCCTCCACGATCACCTCGTGGTTGTTAGGGTTAACCACCAGCGCCTTGACGTCCGCCTTGCCGTTCGCCTTGACTTTGAAGTTGTTGAAGTCAAACAGAAGGTTCCAAAGTTCAGCTGTGTCAAGTCCACCTTGAGAATTTCAAACTTGGGGTCCTGCGGCGCACGTGATGGGGAGGAGGGAAGGAGGAGGGGGGGAAGAAGAAGGGGAGAGGAGGACGGGAAGAGGTGAGGTTGGTTCAGCTGCTTGAGATTTACCTTGAGGATTTCAAAATTGGGGTCCTGCAGTGCACGTGATGGGGAGGAGGCGGAGGAGGAGTGGGATGGGGAGAGGAACGGAAAGGTGAGTTTGGCTGACCTTGAGGATTTCAAATCTGAGGACATGGGTTTCACATTATGGAGAGGAGGAGAGGGGAAGAAGCGGGAAGACGAGGGAAAGGAGCCTACCTCGGTGTTGAAGCGATGCCGAACCCGACGAGCGCCAGAGACACCACGAGGCCAAAGCTATGCGGATTTCTTGTCACTGATTGGCCCAATCAAACAGAGGGAAAGCGGGCGTACCTCGGTGTTGAATGTGAGAGCGAGGATGAGAATCGCCAGGCCGAACCCCACAAGCGCCAGCGACACCACGAGGCCCGTCCACGCGGCAACGTCGCACCACCCGCAGCCTCGTCGCCGCGCGCCCGCGCCCTTCCCCGCGCAGACCTCCGCCTTCCGCTGCGCCTTCATTAGGTCCGCCGCTGACGGCTGGAAGAGGGGAAGAGAACGGGTAAGGAGAGGGGTGGGGGAAAGAATGGGGGAAGGGGGATGAGAAGGGCAAGGAGGGGGCAGGAAGGGGGCGGGAAGTGGGCAGGAAGGGGCGTCAGGTAAGAACGGAATATGGAAGGCATTTGGAGAGGGGGGGGCCCTGATAGTGACATACGCGCGCGCGGAAAGGTGGGGCGCGGAAGGGCGGGTAAGGGTGCTGCGGGAGGGCGTGGAAAAGGGGGCGCGGAAGGACGGGGAAAAGCGACGCGGCAGGGCGCGGAATATGGGAGAAGAAGAAACGCATACGCGCGCTGCGCTCTTATCGGGTGTGGGGCCTGAAATGCGATGTGCCGACCAAGAAAAAACCGAAAGGCCGTCGAAGGGCGCGGCACGGAAAGAGGAACGGCGAGAACCCGCGACGCGCACAGCACGCGCTGCCGCGCTTTACGGCACTGGCAATGCGCGACACGGCACGAACCTCTTTCAGCTTCGCCTTGGCCGCAGTTGGGGATTCCACGTCAGACATTAAAATCGACCCCGACCCTGGCGTCTCCGCCGTTCCCGCCGCCCCGCCAAGCTCCTCGTCGTACCCCATGTTGACAGGGTACCCTCAGTCAACTCAAAATGGCTCAGTCAAAGGCGGCTCAAAGACGGCTTCTTTGCCCAGTCAACTCAAAATGTTTGCCGAGTCGCCTCAAGATGTTGCCCAGCGCAAAGCTACTAGCACAGCGTTTATGCTTATTCTATTAATCCTCGCAATTCGGTAAAGGCAGCGTTCGTCTCACACGCTATACAAGGCTCAGGTTTCTGCAGAGTGGCGCGGAGGATGAAGGTTCCTGTTGCTCGCTAGGTGCTGTATTTGCCGATGGGGCGCGACGAGCAATCTTTCTCGCAAATTCTAGTACGCTATGGGACACCTCAGAGTGATGTTCTCAGAATAGAATGACGAGTGCCAGCTCATTAGCTCGTCTCGTCTGCTGTCCGCTCCGTCTAAGTGATGGGAGGTAACTGCACGCGTTTTCCGCTGCTGAGAAGGAGCGTCTGGCCGACCGACTGAAAGTCGACGGATTTGGTTGGTCGGCTCGTTTTGCGCGGGTGGGGCGGGTTGGAGTTGGGGGGCGCGTTGAGGGCGAGAAGAGTGGCGACGACGGCGAGTCACATATGCCTCTAGTAGAGTCGATGATGAGCGATTTGAGCGACCAGCCGAGCCGAGTAGATTTTAGCTGAGGTTCGGGGGGAAAGGTTTGGGGAAAGGCAGACCCGGGGGGTGACTCTGGTCTGGCGGGAGGTTTTGGGCAGGTGAATGAGGCTCGGCTTGGCCGGTTTTGAGAATCTGGTTCGAGACCTGGTTCGGGTTCGAGCAAACTAGTTTGCGCGCACCCCTGTGTTGAATGGTCTCCGCGACGCGGGCTCTGAAAATGGAGGAAATTCGACGAGTGGTTTGGCGTGGCGAAGTCGCGAGAAGTCATGAGCGTTTGGCGAAAAGGCAACCTATAGGGGCTAGCGATTTGGCGAATTCCCGAACACCCAGAAATGGTTCGGTACGATTGCTTGCGGAGAGGGGCTAGGCTTGGCGGATCAAATCAATAGGCGAGGGAGAGCTCCCCCCCTCCCCCCCCCCCCCCCCCCCCCCAAGCTGGCCTGTGATCTCCACCCCTCCGAAGCACGTCCGATAAATCGGGGCCGAAGCGACTGGAGGAACTGGTTCGGCGAAGCGTAGTTTTGGACGACGTGACATCGGTGGCTGACGGCGGAGGAGAGCGTCGCATCTCGATAATTCCAGTCGCAGATCACATCGCAAGTCGGTGGAGCGATGTGGGGCGAGTGACTTCTGCGAAGGTCCCAACCCAATCACCGTAGCCCGTTAGACAGCTTCCCGGTAGCGTGTAAATAACTACACCAACTAGAGAACACAATGCAGTATATTCTGAGGGGATGGTACTCCTGTTCTGATGCCATTTGGTAAAAACTCGACGAAACTAGCTTATAAGTGGCGTAAATCAGTGGTGGGACTTTAATGCAGAGTTCATCTGTAAGCGTTCCGCGAATGCTCTTAGCAGGTACAACTATCTTTGTTCTGCGCACTGCGGTTTGGGTTTTCTTTGACCACTCATCAAGCGACACTCGGGAACAGGCCAAACACGCGGCGATTTGGAGGCCACGGAAGTGTTATCATTGGCCGTCGTTAGACATCCTTTCCAAGATCCCCATTCGTCACTCTCCCAGGTTAGTCGGGCACGCGCCTCAAATCAAAGCTGGGAACGAACCAAACCGAGCTGCACTGTTCACAAAAACCGATTACCAGACCGTAACAACTGGTTTGACATGACAGTGTGGCGGCGGGAACAGTCACGAAGTTCCCGAAGTCCAGCTTGGTGGGTACCTGGGGGAGGCTGTCCCCTCCTTGAAACTTGTCAGGTTTGGAGGTATGAGAACGAGCCTAGAGTTCAGGATCGCCTCCCTGATCAAGCACGCTGGTTCGACTCGCAGTTCCAGATGACTGATTGCTGCTGGATTCTGAGTTTTAGGGACTTACCACCTCCTGTCAGTAAACTAGGAACCTTTTTTCTATTGTCTAGGGACTATCGGAAGAGCTTAGCTTGTTTAGCGATCCATCCAAACCGCTAACTCGCAAAAGCTTAGCGATCCATCCATTTCGCAGAAGCGTAGAATCGCCGATTCGCAAGTTGGCACGCATTCCATTCATTTGTGAGACCTTCGAACCGCAGATACCAACATTTCAAGGTGGTCTGAATTCGTCGCTGCGAGCCCGCAACGTAGTTCGAGACGTTTCAATATCCAAACCGTCTATGCGCTGTTACAAACGTCTGGGCAAAGCCGATGCAAGAGGAAGCCTGGTGAACCTGCTCTAGTCGGTCCGTTGCTGCAGCATCCGCGTTATAGGATTGCCCTCTGTAACGGTATCAAAACTGTAGACTTCTTGTAAACCATGTACTACGGCATTACGCCTCGGTAAAGGATATTTGTCTCGAGGGGAGTGCGCAAGTACTCTATACCAAGACAGGATCTAACGGCTTCGGAAGGCCGATTTTAGCGGCGCTGGAAGATCGGACGGCTCGAGACGGTTGATCTAAAGACGGCGATCTGGCGTCGACAGGCGCTGCAGGGCGGGATGATGGGAAGGTGGTAACCAGAAGGCAGGAAGATGGGGAGGGGGCGACTAGAAGGCAGGACGATGGCGGGAAGGGGGTAGCGAGAAGGCTGGTGGGGAAATGGATGGCCCACTTGCCTGAGGAGCAGCGATCGAAGCTCTTCAGCGGCATGGCTGGCGCTGGCGCAGGTGAGACGGGAGGAGGAAGAAGAAGGGTTGAGGATGAAGGGGGAATGAGGTAGAGAGGAGGAGGGGTGATGAATAAAGCAAGAGGATGATGAAAGAGGAAGACGTGTGGTATGTGCTTCCAGGAAAACGGTAGCCGCCACGTTTGTAGCGCCGCTGGTCGTGGTGAAGACGTTTCCTCCCGCTCCCCCTTCTCCCTTCCCTTCCCTCGTCCCCTCCAACCCCTCTCTCCCCCCCCCCCCCCTATTCAGGAGCTGTAGCCGCCACGTTTGTAGCGCCGCTAGACGTGGTCAAAACCCGTCTACAAGTGCTGGGTGCTCCTCAAGCCTCCACGTCAGCAGCAGGGGGAGCAGCAGCAGCGGGGGCAGCAGCAGCGCCGTCAATATCAAGAGGGGGAGCAGCAGCATCATCCGCCTCCCCACCTCCGTTTGCTAGGATAGCCACTGTGCTCGCCACTCCCCCATCCGCATCCGCAGCTGCCGCGGCAGCAGAAGCAGCGCGGGGGGCGGGAGGATCAGGGGGATTAGGAGCAGCAGGGGGAGCTGGGGGAGCAGCAGTGGGGGGAACAGGCGCGGGGGCAAAGGTAGCAGCGGCGGGGCGGTGGCGCATGGGCGTGATAGCGGGGTCGTTGCAGACCATCTGGCGCACGGAGGGCCTGAGGGGGCTCTATAGGGGGCTCTCCCCGACCATGGTGGCTCTGCTTCCTAACTGGGCGGTGAGTGCTTTCACATTGATCTCTATCACTCCGCCAGGTGTATTTCGTCTCTAATACGACCAGTAAAGCGGATATTTCGGCAGCCAGTCCAAGCATTACCTCTCCACCAAATACACCCACTATCTGTATCACTCCGCCACGTGTACTTGGTCTCTAAAGAGGCGTACGACTGCTAGAGCGGATACTTAGGCAGCCAGTCCAAGCATTGTCGTTCCTTCTCCCAACGCCTCTTCTTCTTTCTTTCCCTATTTCATCCAGTCTCTTGCACCCACTATCTCTATCACTCCGCCAGGTGTGCTTGGTCTGTAAAGAGGTGTACGACCATTAAAGCGGATATTTCGGCAGCCAGTCCAAGCATTACCTCTCCACCAAATACACCCACTATCTCTATCACTCCGCCACGTGTACTTGGTCTCTAAAGAGGCGTACGACTGCTAGAGCGGATACTTAGGCAGCCAGTCCAAGCATTGTCGTTCCTTCTCCCAACGCCTCTTCTTCTTTCTTTCCCTATTTCATCCAGTCTCTTGCACCCACTATCTCTATCACTCCGCCAGGTGTGCTTGGTCTGTAAAGAGGTGTACGACCTCTAAAGCGGATATTTCGGCAGCCAGTCCAAGCATTGTCGTTCGTTTCGCTAGTGAATCCTCCTCTTTCCCTCTTTCATTGGGTCTCTTTCACCCACTGTCTCTGTCCCTCTGCCAGGTGTACTTTTCAGTGTACGACCATTTAAAGCGGATGTTAAGCGAATCAAGTCATCCAAAATGCAGTTTCTTGCCTGAACGCCTCTTTCACCCGCTTCCTTGTTCACTTTCTCTTCCACTCCGCCAGGTGTACTTTTCAGTGTACGACCATTTAAAGCGGATGCTAAGCGAGCCAAGTCATCCAGGCGCAGGTGAGCTTTTAGTAGGCTTTAATGCAGTCACAGTAATTGAAACGGATTGGTTGTGACTCACAGCTAGCACGAGCTTTGAACTTGAAAGTCACTAACGTGGATACTGGAGCGAGCCCAGTCCCTCAGTCACTATGTGTATTCAGCTGTTAGCTAATATCGGACTCTTCTCTTCACCCGTGCCACCACCCCAGTTCCCAGCAGCCGCGAAGAATCACCACAGCAGGGTTCAGAGCAGCAGGAGCAGCAGGAGGAGGGGCGTCATCAGGCCCGGCCACAGCAGCAGCAGTTGTCGCTGGGTCGGAGTGTGCTGGCAGCAGCAGGAGCAGGCACAGCAACAGTCCTCGCCACCAACCCCCTGTGGGTCGTCAAGACGAGGCTGCAGGTGAGTCATTTCGAAGTTCAAGGTCCAGGAAACAACAGGGAATCATCAAGCGTTGAGAGACGTAGCAGCAGGAGCAGGCACAGCGACTGTCCTCGCCACCAACCCCCTGTGGGTCGTCAAGACAAGACTGCAGGTGAGTTGTTGGGAAAACTACAGGGAGTAGGGAATTATCGAGCCTTGAATTGAGTCGATTCAAAGCAGCAGGAGCAGGCACAGCGACTGTCCTCGCCACCAACCCCCTGTGGGTCGTCAAGACAAGACTGCAGGTGAGTTGTTGGGAAAACTACAGGGAGTAGGGAATTATCGAGCCTTGAATTGAGTCGATTCAAAGCAGCAGGAGCAGGCACAGCGACTGTCCTCGCCACCAACCCCCTGTGGGTCGTCAAGACAAGACTGCAGGTGAGTTGTTGGGAAAACTACAGGGAGTAGGGAATTATCGAGCCTTGAATTGAGTCGATTCAAAGCAGCAGGAGCAGGCACAGCGACTGTCCTCGCCACCAACCCCCTGTGGGTCGTCAAGACAAGACTGCAGGTGAGTTGTTGGGAAAACTACAGGGAGTAGGGAATTATCGAGCCTTGAATTGAGTCGATTCAAAGCAGCAGGAGCAGGCACAGCGACTGTCCTCGCCACCAACCCCCTGTGGGTCGTCAAGACAAGACTGCAGGTGAGTTGTTGGGAAAACTACAGGGAGTAGGGAATTATCGAGCCTTGAATTGAGTCGATTCAAAGCAGCAGGAGCAGGCACAGCGACTGTCCTCGCCACCAACCCCCTGTGGGTCGTCAAGACAAGACTGCAGGTGAGTTGTTGGGAAAACTACAGGGAGTAGGGAATTATCGAGCCTTGAATTGAGTCGATTCAAAGCAGCAGGAGCAGGCACAGCGACTGTCCTCGCCACCAACCCCCTGTGGGTCGTCAAGACAAGACTGCAGGTGAGTTGTTGGGAAAACTACAGGGAGTAGGGAATTATCGAGCCTTGAATTGAGTCGATTCAAAGCAGCAGGAGCAGGCACAGCGACTGTCCTCGCCACCAACCCCCTGTGGGTCGTCAAGACAAGACTGCAGGTGAGTTGTTGGGAAAACTACAGGGAGTAGGGAATTATCGAGCCTTGAATTGAGTCGATTCAAAGCAGCAGGAGCAGGCACAGCGACTGTCCTCGCCACCAACCCCCTGTGGGTCGTCAAGACAAGACTGCAGGTGAGTTGTTGGGAAAACTACAGGGAGTAGGGAATTATCGAGCCTTGAATTGAGTCGATTCAAAGCAGCAGGAGCAGGCACAGCGACTGTCCTCGCCACCAACCCCCTGTGGGTCGTCAAGACAAGACTGCAGGTGAGTTGTTGGGAAAACTACAGGGAGTAGGGAATTATCGAGCCTTGAATTGAGTCGATTCAAAGCAGCAGGAGCAGGCACAGCGACTGTCCTCGCCACCAACCCCCTGTGGGTCGTCAAGACAAGACTGCAGGTGAGTTGTTGGGAAAACTACAGGGAGTAGGGAATTATCGAGCCTTGAATTGAGTCGATTCAAAGCAGCAAGAGCAGGCACAGCGACTGTCCTCGCCACCAACCCCCTGTGGGTCGTCAAGACAAGACTGCAGGTGAGTTGTTGGGAAAACTACAGGGAGTAGGGAATTATCGAGCCTTGAATTGAGTCGATTCAAAGCAGCAGGAGCAGGCACAGCGACTGTCCTCGCCACCAACCCCCTGTGGGTCGTCAAGACAAGACTGCAGGTGAGTTGTTGGGAAAACTACAGGGAGTAGGGAATTATCGAGCCTTGAATTGAGTCGATTCAAAGCAGCAGGAGCAGGCACAGCGACTGTCCTCGCCACCAACCCCCTGTGGGTCGTCAAGACAAGACTGCAGGTGAGTTGTTGGGAAAACTACAGGGAGTAGGGAATTATCGAGCCTTGAATTGAGTCGATTCAAAGCAGCAGGAGCAGGCACAGCGACTGTCCTCGCCACCAACCCCCTGTGGGTCGTCAAGACAAGACTGCAGGTGAGTTGTTGGGAAAACTACAGGGAGTAGGGAATTATCGAGCCTTGAATTGAGTCGATTCAAAGCAGCAGGAGCAGGCACAGCGACTGTCCTCGCCACCAACCCCCTGTGGGTCGTCAAGACAAGACTGCAGGTGAGTTGTTGGGAAAACTACAGGGAGTAGGGAATTATCGAGCCTTGAATTGAGTCGATTCAAAGCAGCAGGAGCAGGCACAGCGACTGTCCTCGCCACCAACCCCCTGTGGGTCGTCAAGACAAGACTGCAGGTGAGTTGTTGGGAAAACTACAGGGAGTAGGGAATTATCGAGCCTTGAATTGAGTCGATTCAAAGCAGCAGGAGCAGGCACAGCGACTGTCCTCGCCACCAACCCCCTGTGGGTCGTCAAGACAAGACTGCAGGTGAGTTGTTGGGAAAACTACAGGGAGTAGGGAATTATCGAGCCTTGAATTGAGTCGATTCAAAGCAGCAGGAGCAGGCACAGCGACTGTCCTCGCCACCAACCCCCTGTGGGTCGTCAAGACAAGACTGCAGGTGAGTTGTTGGGAAAACTACAGGGAGTAGGGAATTATCGAGCCTTGAATTGAGTCGATTCAAAGCAGCAGGAGCAGGCACAGCGACTGTCCTCGCCACCAACCCCCTGTGGGTCGTCAAGACAAGACTGCAGGTGAGTTGTTGGGAAAACTACAGGGAGTAGGGAATTATCGAGCCTTGAATTGAGTCGATTCAAAGCAGCAGGAGCAGGCACAGCGACTGTCCTCGCCACCAACCCCCTGTGGGTCGTCAAGACAAGACTGCAGGTGAGTTGTTGGGAAAACTACAGGGAGTAGGGAATTATCGAGCCTTGAATTGAGTCGATTCAAAGCAGCAGGAGCAGGCACAGCGACTGTCCTCGCCACCAACCCCCTGTGGGTCGTCAAGACAAGACTGCAGGTGAGTTGTTGGGAAAACTACAGGGAGTAGGGAATTATCGAGCCTTGAATTGAGTCGATTCAAAGCAGCAGGAGCAGGCACAGCGACTGTCCTCGCCACCAACCCCCTGTGGGTCGTCAAGACAAGACTGCAGGTGAGTTGTTGGGAAAACTACAGGGAGTAGGGAATTATCGAGCCTTGAATTGAGTCGATTCAAAGCAGCAGGAGCAGGCACAGCGACTGTCCTCGCCACCAACCCCCTGTGGGTCGTCAAGACAAGACTGCAGGTGAGTTGTTGGGAAAACTACAGGGAGTAGGGAATTATCGAGCCTTGAATTGAGTCGATTCAAAGCAGCAGGAGCAGGCACAGCGACTGTCCTCGCCACCAACCCCCTGTGGGTCGTCAAGACAAGACTGCAGGTGAGTTGTTGGGAAAACTACAGGGAGTAGGGAATTATCGAGCCTTGAATTGAGTCGATTCAAAGCAGCAGGAGCAGGCACAGCGACTGTCCTCGCCACCAACCCCCTGTGGGTCGTCAAGACAAGACTGCAGGTGAGTTGTTGGGAAAACTACAGGGAGTAGGGAATTATCGAGCCTTGAATTGAGTCGATTCAAAGCAGCAGGAGCAGGCACAGCGACTGTCCTCGCCACCAACCCCCTGTGGGTCGTCAAGACAAGACTGCAGGTGAGTTGTTGGGAAAACTACAGGGAGTAGGGAATTATCGAGCCTTGAATTGAGTCGATTCAAAGCAGCAGGAGCAGGCACAGCGACTGTCCTCGCCACCAACCCCCTGTGGGTCGTCAAGACAAGACTGCAGGTGAGTTGTTGGGAAAACTACAGGGAGTAGGGAATTATCGAGCCTTGAATTGAGTCGATTCAAAGCAGCAGGAGCAGGCACAGCGACTGTCCTCGCCACCAACCCCCTGTGGGTCGTCAAGACAAGACTGCAGGTGAGTTGTTGGGAAAACTACAGGGAGTAGGGAATTATCGAGCCTTGAATTGAGTCGATTCAAAGCAGCAGGAGCAGGCACAGCGACTGTCCTCGCCACCAACCCCCTGTGGGTCGTCAAGACAAGACTGCAGGTGAGTTGTTGGGAAAACTACAGGGAGTAGGGAATTATCGAGCCTTGAATTGAGTCGATTCAAAGCAGCAGGAGCAGGCACAGCGACTGTCCTCGCCACCAACCCCCTGTGGGTCGTCAAGACAAGACTGCAGGTGAGTTGTTGGGAAAACTACAGGGAGTAGGGAATTATCGAGCCTTGAATTGAGTCGATTCAAAGCAGCAGGAGCAGGCACAGCGACTGTCCTCGCCACCAACCCCCTGTGGGTCGTCAAGACAAGACTGCAGGTGAGTTGTTGGGAAAACTACAGGGAGTAGGGAATTATCGAGCCTTGAATTGAGTCGATTCAAAGCAGCAAGAGCAGGCACAGCGACTGTCCTCGCCACCAACCCCCTGTGGGTCGTCAAGACAAGACTGCAGGTGAGTTGTTGGGAAAACTACAGGGAGTAGGGAATTATCGAGCCTTGAATTGAGTCGATTCAAAGCAGCAGGAGCAGGCACAGCGACTGTCCTCGCCACCAACCCCCTGTGGGTCGTCAAGACAAGACTGCAGGTGAGTTGTTGGGAAAACTACAGGGAGTAGGGAATTATCGAGCCTTGAATTGAGTCGATTCAAAGCAGCAGGAGCAGGCACAGCGACTGTCCTCGCCACCAACCCCCTGTGGGTCGTCAAGACAAGACTGCAGGTGAGTTGTTGGGAAAACTACAGGGAGTAGGGAATTATCGAGCCTTGAATTGAGTCGATTCAAAGCAGCAGGAGCAGGCACAGCGACTGTCCTCGCCACCAACCCCCTGTGGGTCGTCAAGACAAGACTGCAGGTGAGTTGTTGGGAAAACTACAGGGAGTAGGGAATTATCGAGCCTTGAATTGAGTCGATTCAAAGCAGCAGGAGCAGGCACAGCGACTGTCCTCGCCACCAACCCCCTGTGGGTCGTCAAGACAAGACTGCAGGTGAGTTGTTGGGAAAACTACAGGGAGTAGGGAATTATCGAGCCTTGAATTGAGTCGATTCAAAGCAGCAGGAGCAGGC